GTCGTACGCATTTGAGATCATATAAAATATTGTAAACTCTTTCATATGGCGATGATTTAAAGCGTATTAGGCTTTGGCATAAAAAAGAAAAATATTATTTCGTTTCGAGTTGAAAGTTGTGGAGCGATGAAATCAAATCAATGGTTTGACAAGCACGAGAAATATATGTTGATACGGAACTTCATGAGAAGGAGAAGCGTTGCGTGAACGTAAAAACATACACCACAATAAACCGAACACCCCACAATTAGCTCGGTAATTTGGTTGATGAAGTTATTCGATTAACTACAGAAAATTTCTTTATCATCTCGGTAATTTTCACAAAAAACCAAATCGAATTAAAACTTTATTTCGTTCTACAACGTTACATACGAACCAAATTTTTTCTATAGTTGAACTGAATCGAACCATAGTTTTATTCAGTGTGTGAGGGTTAAAACTCCCTTAGGATTAAGACCCCCTCTTAGGGTTTACCTCCTCTTAATTTGCTCAAAAATTAATTTTTTTAAATGTTGTGTATATTTATAATTGTTTTGCTTCACATATTAATGTTTAGAATTTTTTAGCTTGCTAAAGATATAAATGGTATACCTATAAATTCAAAAAAATATATAAGTTAATAGTATAAAATGAGTATTCAATCATAAAATTTTATCTTATTATTGTAGTAACCATACCATGATTGTTGTAGTAGTTTTAACAAAAAAAAATCGAATTAAAACTTTATATATTTCTACAACGTTACAAACAAACCAAATTTTTTCTATAGCCAAACTAAATCGAATCATAGCTTTATTTAGCGTGTGAGGGTTAAGGTTCCTCCTCTTAGGGTTTAGCTCCTCTTAATTTGTTAAAAAAAATTAAAATGTTTAGAATAGTTTTATTTGGTAAAAGTACAAATGATATATCTATAAATTTTAAAAAACAATTATTAGTATAATACGAATATTCGATCATAACATTTTTTATTAAATCTATAAACATTCGTTTCTTTCTATGGTGCTTATCAACATGAACGGAAGTTTACACAGTTCTTTTATAAAATTTTAATATTTAGTTTTTCGTTGACAATTGTATATACGAAATATATTTTAATTCTCTAAATATTTTAATGCATGCTGGGCGCGGGTACATCCACTAGCGGAAAAAATATATAGCACAAGGAATGTTTCTTCCATCGTCTTTTTGCAGCAGGTTCATTGTGATGCATGGATATAGGTGGAGGATCTTCCATAATTTACTTTACTGAAGCTGTAAATTGATTATATGAAAAAAATTATCTCCTTTGAATTTTTTTGTTTTGTTTTTGCGGGAGAGTCTCAAGGTCTTTGGTTCATTGATTCATCGATTAGGTTTGTTGTTTTGTTCATCTATTCTTTTTCTTATCGTTTTGATTAATACTATACTCTCTCCTTTTTAACGTGTTTTAAGTCTTCTATCTTATATCGATTACTTCATGGCTTTTACACGCATGTTTTAGTGCTTCTTGCAGCATTAATAAACAGTTTTAGATTGAGATGCGATTAGATTTTTGTATCAAATTTGTGAGGGGGAAATTCGCGCGTTGTGTTGAGTTTGGAGATTGAAATTTGGAATTTGACTTGCAAGAATAAATAGGTTTGTGACTCTTGTTTTAGAAAAGTTTTAATTCAGTAAAAACGAACATCAATTGTTTATTATATATGTTTCTTTTTGTATCATTTGTTGATTCTTTTTTCTGATCAATACCAAATTTTTTTTTTTTCGATTTGTTATTCATCACAAAAATTAAAAGGAGGTGTTTCTATATATGGCATGCTTACGGAGCTTCTACTTCGGTAAATTCTTCACCAATATGTGTGATTTTTAAATGTACTCGCTATTTTAGAAAAGTTTGATTTAAGATTTTGCCATGTCATAATAAAAGGGATGCCATGTAATCATTTATTTTGGGAGAGTGATTGTGGAGTTGCCATGTAAGCAAATTCCACAAAATCATTTCTCAAATAATGTATAAGGGATTGTATATTATAAAGAATGCATGTTAACGTTATGAGCTAATGTTTAGTATAGTGACAAAGATAATTGCTTCAAGTAGTGATTCTTAAAACTATAAACCAGAGGCATTCTCATGATCTTATAAAAATTTAACACATTTGCTTCATAACAATAGTTATAAAGTGCTACAAGATTTATAATTATTTGGATAACACCATAATGTGTTGCTTTCAAACAGCTATTTTAGTTGTATCATTTAGTTGGGGTAAATTTTTTCTAAGAAACAAGAATGTGCAAATATATTTTTCGTTTCAATACTTTTACGGATTTGTTAAATTTGCTTTGGTAGTTTGATTGTGTACTGATCATTATCTTCGATGTGGAGTATAGAAAGAGAATGTATCATATATTATATATTCTGAGCTTATTTTAAATCTCTACAAGTCTGAGTTTTATCATATATTCTATCGACAAAAAAAAAATTGGCATTATAGTTTTGCAAATTTAGCATTTTTTTGTTGACCGTTTTATTTAGTGTTATTAATATAATAGTTATTCCGCGCAGAGCGCGGGTACTGCCCTAGTTAACCGGTAATTGCGATGATCCAAATCACGTTTAGAATAATTTAGAATCGTGTCTACTTCATAAAAACTGGAATTCATCCAAATGATAGTCTATGTCCTCTTTTCCTTCGGGTTTTTATTAAGTTGGGCACAATTTTGGACTCTAAACTTGATTAGCACAAACGCAAGAGCCCATGGTAATAAAATTAACAAAAATTTTAAGTATTATAAAATGGTGAAATCCTTGGATATGATGGGTTCTATGGATCTCCAAAAACAATAACGTTTTCAACAATATGAACTTTACGGTGGCTGATAAATCCTCAGAGCTTTTCAGGATGCTTGGGAGTGTCTCTCGGCTCAATCGACCACTCCTCCTTCAATTGTCTTGAATCAATTAAAGAATACTCAAAATCCTATTCTCCTGTCAGGAAGAATTTACCACATGTTTCACTGATGCGGCGTAGATTGCCAACTCAGAAATGGCTAGAATTTCCCCCGATCCCATTATGGAACAATCAGCTTCGATTCTCCATGTTCCATATGTTCGAGTTGCATAAGCTTTGGCTATAAGGACATCTATTCCTTCAAGCGTCGACCCTATTTCAAAAACTGCTAATTCTTTTTTTTTTTTTTAACAAGTCTTTTTCATTACTTTAAACGATCAGAGTACAAAAAGAGCGAATTAAACATCCTCCACCATTAATACAACATAATTGAAATGTGATAAAATATAAAGCAGATAGATCATCGTAGAAAATGGACAGTAGGTCCAAGATATGTCTCGGATGCGTCAAGAGGGTCTTCGCGGCAAGGCCGGAGAGTCTCAGGATAGTCACTTTACATTGTGCCTTTGAAGAACCCGGCATAATGCTCGGGGATTCGACCACTCTCAAAGAGATGGAAGAAAGTGGAATTGAACTATTCCACCGGGAGTAAATTACAGGGTTTGAGAACCTAGAAAACTTTGCACCTCTCATACGTGGATATATGGATCTCGACGATTCATAAAATTAAATGAAGTACGGTGAGGACGAATAGGTCTCTCCAGGCTCGATTTGGAGGACTTCGATTTTAACAAGCTCTGTAACACTTTGTCTAAAGCGACAACTTTGCATAGATAAAACGTGGAAGGTGATTTGCAAATAATACTCTCCATCTGATATTGGGCCTTGTTTAAGGTAAAGGCTAGGTGGGTTTGAGCTGCTTGGGCCAGAAAGCCCAACACACACAAAAGCCCAGCCCATTAGTTGATTAGGGTTGGAGGGGTGAGGGGAGGATCTCGACAAACTGGAGGGGTGAAGATGGACGGCCACATCGGGCCGGCGGTGACTGAGGGAAGGGGGTTCTTCCTCGGAGGTGGATTTTCAGCGGGGGGCGCAGGAACTTCCGACTGTGACGAGCTGGAGATGCCGACAAAATCTCCCGTCGATGGGAGTCTTTCCCTTGGTCGCGACGGAGATGAAGCCGGAGGATGAGATGGGGGCGAGAGGGCGAATATTGCGGTGACTATGGTTACACAGCAGCAGTTGAAGAGAAATTGTGTAAAGCCGAGCCCGGTCCAGCGGATCCGGTGGGTCCGGCGGTACCGGCGGGTGCAGAGGCGACGGACCAGTCAACCACCGTCGGTTAGCCGGAAGGCTCACGAGAACACACATCAATGCTTTGCGAGCCATGGAAGACAAGAGAGAGGTTGGAGAAGAAACTCACCGGAAAACAGGACTCCGGCGGAGGTGCGACGACAACTCTTTGGAGACGAGAGAACTGGCGCTGCTTCAGGGAGGAGAGGAGGACTTGACCGACGAGGCTTCAACGGCAGTCATGGCATCTCGACGGCTGCGGGTCCTCGGGTCTCGGGTCTGAGAGAGAATCCTAGGCGAACATATAATAAAGCTCTTCAAAAAAAAAAACTGCTAATTCTAAAGCAGACTTTTTGACTGAATTGGGTCTCAAATGTGTAATGAGCTAGTTTGAGCATAAGAGCACCATCAATTGTGGGTGTTAGTGAGTTTTTTAATGGGTTGCTAATGGATTAAAAACAATTAAATAGTCTTAGAATCTCAGAAATAGATTGCTAATTTTAGTTTTTTAGAACCCAGAATTTAAAAATTAC